TCTCATCCCCCACCTCCTCACTCTCTCTTACCATCCTGGAGAGGGACGTCAACAGACTGTTCAGGAGCAGAAACCTCGCAAAGCAGCTGGGCCGGACTCTGTCTCCCCATCCACCCTGAAGCACAGCGCCAATCAGCTGTCTCCAGTGTTTACAGACATTTTTAACACCTCACTGGAGTCATGCCATGTGCCAGCCTGCTTCAAAGCCTCCACCATCATCCCTGTTCCCAAAAAACCAAGGACCACTGGACTAAACGACTACAGACCTGTCGTGCTGTGGTTATGAAGTCCTTTGAACGCCTTGTGTTGTCCCACCTGAAATGCATCACTGACCCACTCCTGGACCCCCTGCAGTTTGCCTACAGAGCCAACAGGTCTGTAGACAACGCAGTAAACATGGCCCTTCACGTCATCCTCCATCACCTGGATTCCCCAGGAACCTACACCAGGATCCTGTTTATAGATTTCAGCTCTGCTTTTAACACCATCATCCCGGCCCTGCTGCAGAAAAAGCTCTCCCAGGTGAGCATGCCTGACTCCACCTGCAGGTGGATCACAGACTTACTGACAGAAAGGAAGTAGCATGTTAAGCTGGGAAAACATCTCTCTGACTCCAGGACCCTCAGCACCAGTTCCCCTCAGGACTGCGTTCTTTCCCCTCTTCTCTTCTCCCTGCACGTCCAGTCACCAGTCTGTCAAGCTCCTGAAGTTTGCAGATGACACCACCCTCATTGGGCTCATCTCTGGTGGGAATGAGTCCGCCTACAGGTGGGAGATCGACCATCTGGTGACCTGGTGCAGCCAGAACAGTCTGGAGCTCAACGCTCTGAAGACAGTGGAGATGGCCGTGGACTTCAGGAAGAGCCCAGCCCCACCCTCCCCCATCATCCTGAGTGACTCCCCCGTCGCCACTGTGGAATCCTTCCGCTTCCTGGGCACCATCATCTCCCAGGACCTCAAGTGGGAGCTGAACATCACCTCCATCACCAAAAAGGCCCAGCAGAAGATGTACTCCCTGCGGCAGCTGAAGAAGTTCAGCCTGCCAAAGACAATGATGGTGCACTTCTACACGGCATCATTGAGTCCATCCTTACCTCCTCCATCACCATCTGGTACGCTGCTGCCACTGCCAGGGACAAGGGCAGACTGCAACGTATCATTCACTCTGCAGAGAAGGTGATTTATTTGTCACTTTCCATTTCTCCAGGACCTGTATGCCTCCAGGACTCTGAGGCATGGAAGTCGTTAGGCGTATTTTGGGGGAGCTGAAGCCACCCTAACATGGTCCTAAGCCCCCCAAATAATAAAAAGGAAAATAATTTTTGTTTAAAAGTGTAGTGTCCAGTGCTTGTGCTTTTGGCTCATAACAGTTCAAAATAGCACTGTAGCAGCAGGACAGAGGGTCAGTGAACTTCTACGGGGAGAGCAGTGATTGGTGGTTATGTAGGGACTGAACCCTTCTATAGAATTTGACCTCTAACCCCTTGTTTTGTTACCTCAGAATAGTACTGTACCCTTCTATGGGTTTGAGCTTTATTTTGCAGACTTACACCCTTCTCTGCTACCTAACAGATACCTAAACATATCCTATATAAGCTATGTTTGATGTACAGAGAGACAGAGTGGCCATCAGGCTGGGTCACTCTCCAAGCTGCTGCAGAGCTTGTAATTGAGGCTGAACTCCTTGATGTAATAAACTTTTATGATCAAGAACAGTGTCAAGCGGGTTTCCTCTCAACACATCATCGCAGCATTATTGTTTGGACACCACAGAAATGGCACCCCAGATGGGACCATGTTGTGCCTAAATTCATCGTTCCATCACGGGCTCCGTCGAGCTGACCCCCGCTCCAGAAGCTAGCATATATGGTGAGTTTTCTCATAAACTGTGGGCGCTGGTCAGTTCGTGCGTCTGTGTGTGCAGGTACACCGGTTCGATCCCGTGTGGATGCTTGCGGTTGGATGTGTGAGAGGACTCCATTCTAAATTTTGTTTGCGTTGTGGACACGATACGCAATAAAGTGTGTGTGTGAATATAATGAAGGAAGATAGATAGATATAAAAGGAAGAAAAAGGAATAGCCTAGGAGTAACGGAAAGTGAGCTTTCATAACTTTGCAAAAATTAAGAATATGGGACCTCAGATTCTTATAAACGTAAGTCATGTGGGATGGAAACTACTGTCGCGTGAAACTAGGCTTTAAGGAATAGGCAAATTGGATTAAGGAAAAAAGAGAGAGTGTAACCCCGGCCAGGGTCATTCGGTTTGAATAAAATTAATGAGGTTAAGGAAAAATATAAGGAAAGGATCAGGACGCCGCCGATCTGGACAAAAGCTTTTGAAGGTGATCTTAGATGGGCCGCAAATCCTGGAAAGGCACTAGGTGAATTTTCGGGTCCGTTCAAAGGAACTGGGAGCTTGTAGAATAAAAATTTAATTGTAAGTTACCTCTCGATACACTGAAAAAAGGGAGACTGATCACCTGTTAGATTTATCAAATTATATTTAGTGTTTATTAAAGGGTTTTATGTTCTTAAGTGAAACGTGATAGCATTGTGTGGACTGCACATTAAATGCCGTGTAATTTACAGACCGAATACAATAATGGTTCGACGAATTAGAGGTTTGTTGCAGCAAATTGAAATTGGGCATTTTTGAAACAAAAAGGTTTTGGTAAGTTTTATTTAGTTTATGTCGAATTTAAATAAAGTTTGTTTTAACTATGAGCTAAAAAGGTAATGTTAAAGTAATTTGAGCTAACGTTAGTCATAGTTAGCCAGAGATACTTGATATCAGAATTTGTATGGTTGTATTTTCCTGTGTTTACTGGCTATCTATTGGTAACTGGAGAGATTAAAAAACCACTTTGCCAGGAACTGCATTAATGTTTTAAGTTGGATGGATCTTTTAGAAAAGACAAAGGGTCACTTTATCTACAAAATGTGTTTTTAAATGGTTCTTAGCTGTTCATCAAACAAGAAGGAAGAGTTTGACTTGAAAGTCTTATGATTTTAACATATAGTCTACTTTTTATTTCATGGTAACGTTAATTTATGTTGCTCTTGGTTGTTGCAGATGGACACTAAACTCACACTGCGTACATGTCATGTGGAATCAGCTCTTTCAGTGTGGGCTCACGTTTGTGTGGTGAGTAATGTTCACATTTTTTGCCCCACAGGGCAGGGTTCGGTAGTAGGGTATTCAGTGTTTCCCACAGAATGTCAGTCTAAAATGTTTTCTTGCATTTTGCAACCATTTTTTTTGAGTTAGTGACAGTAGTTTTTACAACTTGTGCAACCTACAAATTTGACTACCTTTCATGTTTAAAAACAGGAGGGAGTCTGCAAAGGGAGATCTCCCAGAGGCCTGAGGGCCGTTTTGGCCTGCTGTTAAATAATAACTTGACCAGACCCAGCTATAATATAGCAAGCTTCTTTAAAAAATATAATATAGAAAGCAGGAGATTCCACGCATCTGCCGTCTCATTGTCTTGTCTTGTCTCTCGGTTTCTCTGCCAAATATACATTGGTGACCGATAATAATCGTTGTTGAGAACTGCCACGTAGGTGGCCACAAGTTTTAGCGTTGGTGCATCTAAAGCCTTTTCAGATGGGGTGCGAGGCTCCGTTTGCAGACTGATTTGGATTTGCAGGGTCTCACTGCACTACTTACTGTATGTGAGCAGACATACAGTCCTTGTTAAAATAACCTACCTTTTGTAAATGGCCAGTACAACCTATATTATGCAGTATTGCACTTGACAAAAAGTGCTAACAGCCTCTAGTTATTGACTGAATCATTCAATTATGAGAGCTATATTTGATGAATTATGGCTCACACAGACATAAATAACCATTCTGAGGCTGCAGTCACTTTTTTGCAAGAAGGTTTAAGCTACAGTTTTTATATTGGTTGTATTTACAATTTAAAGGGTCATCTTAATATTAATATAAATTGTTGTAAAAGATATTTAAATAAAAATATAGTTCTGCAGGCTTCATTATAGACACAGTGATCGGACAATACTATGACCAGCAAATGGTGATTGGCCCCGAAAATCCTGATAGAGTACCCCTAGTATGTTTAGTTGTTGTTTGATATTTCATAATTTGACAGCATGTTTATTTTTAATTAGAAATACTTATATTTGTGATAACTTTCTTTGGTTTATCCTTATTTATTTATTATTTCTTTTCTTTTTCAGTGACGAGAGAAAAAATGCTGTGAATGTGCTGTTATAAAGCCTGCCCCTCAGATTTACCAAGTAGGTCCCATGTATTAGTATCCAGAATTGCATCGTCTTTTAGGACCAAACGTTGAACTGTTACCGGTGTTCTGACGATATGTGCTGCCTTGCCGAAAAATGCATTTTACTCGGCCCTGCTCCGTTTTCCATTGCAGATAGCACCCAGAGATAGCAACGCCACACACAACTGCTACGACGTAATGTTCAATGCGACACACACCAGCGATCCACACAGCTCTTAAAATATTACAGTC